TTGACCTCTTCTCAAAGGACAGCGAGTCTTGCTCAGGCAGACACTGTCCCCTCACCATCCTGACTGATTCCTTCTGTTTAATGTTGCAGTTCTCACTTTGAGTTAGCTCAGCCAATGAAAGAAAGTTTACAAAGCCGATCCTTGACGGTAGTTGGGAGCTCTCCACGTGTTCTCATCTCACATCTCTGACAGTATTTAGCACTGCAGATGTTCCTTACTGAAACATCCAACCTCAGCAGACACTGGGCAATGTGGGCAAAGCAACTGATGATTTCACAGGGAAGCTGAAGGAAACGGTTCACATTGTAGTCACCCACAATTCTAATGGATCCCACTCCTGGAAGCTTAACCCCTCTCTAGAGTCTCCTTGGCTTACCACAGGGCTCAGTGTATTCATTCTTTCCCTGTGCCATTCTCAAAGTCCCTTTTAGGCTGTGTCCAAGGTCAGCTGCTCATGCCAGGTCCAGGCCTTTTGTCCTTGGAGGCCTGAGGAGGGGGACATCATTTTACTGTGAATGACACTGGACATCCAGGGAGCTCATTCCCTCTGTGCTGGGGAGGATGTCACCATCACCCTGGAGAAGCTGACTCCAGATAACACCGCACCTCCAGAATTCCTAAGCCACCAATCACAGTAGGTCACAAGCACTACACTGATGCTCACAGAAGGAAGCTGAGTGACTTGACCAATTTTATGGAGTGAGTAAGCACTACTACTTGCAGAAAATTCACTGGAGTGTCAGCCTACCAATCATTCTGCCATCTCCCCTTGGGTGCCACCTCTGGTGGAGTTGCAGCTTGCTGTAGCTTGAATCTCATATGTCCCCAAATTTCAAGTGTCAAAGGCTTGGACACAGGAAAGCACTACAGAGAGATGATGGGAGGTTGGAGTTAGCAGGAGGGAGGAGATCACTGGGGCATGCCCTGGAAAGAGCTATCAAGTCGATCCTGCCTCTTACTCCATTCCTAGAGCCATGATGTGAGTGGCCTCTTTTACCACGTGTTCCTGCCACAGTGTGCTGTCTGCCACAGGCCCAAAGCAACAGAGCAAAGAAACCATGAACTGAAGCCTCTGATACCGTGAGGCTCATAATCCTTTCTCTCTTTCTTTCTCTCTCTCTCTCTTTCTTTTTCTCTCATTTATTTATGGCTACAGAACACTGAGCTCTGTCCTCAGCCCTTTTCTAGTTTTTATTCCCAGGCAGGATTTCACTAAGTTATTGAGCAGGCAGGGCTCAGACTTGTAAACCTCCTGCCTCAACTTCCCAGAGTGCTAGGATTATAAGAGCACACCACTGCACCAGGCTTATCCTTTTTTTTAAAATTGATTTATCGCAAATATTTTTACGCTAATACAGTTCCTGTTCCAAAAGTGTATCCTAATTTTTTCACAACACAGTGTTTCTAAAAGCCCCCAATAAGATGCCCATTTCATTGCTTCTCAAAATCTCCTTGTCACAATTAGAGCTGAGCTAAGCAAACAGACGAAACAAAGCAGTAAATATAAATGTTACTTAGTGTTTGTTTATTTATTTGTTAATTTATCCATTTTTCTGTGTGTATTTTTCATCTCAGCTTCTGGTAATATTATTTAGATTTCCATTTGTTGAATGTGTCACCGTATTTCCCAAAACTAGGATCTAGCTAGAAAATAACCCCTAGCACAATTTTTCAGGATGTCTGTAACATCAGCCTTACCCTGAAAACAGGTCTCAGTTAAGATCATTAGTCAGATAGACTCATTATGTCAATTGCAACACATGATGGTATATTGAATTATAAAATAGCAATATTAATATATAATTAAATATAAATAACATATCATTGAAATTAATACTTAAAATAAATGATAACAGATTATAATTAGGTATTTGCAATTACCCAGGCAAATGCCTTTGGATAAGAGATAAACACCTATGTAAATAGATAACTTGAGACATTGCCAGGTGACCAGAGTACAGTCACAACTAATATCACAGCTGACAGCAATTGGGTGTGGTCAAGTCGAATGTGAATCTTCAGAGTCCAGTACATCGTGTGTTGTAATGGATGTGTTTAATCCAATCACGAGGAATAAAGAAATGCTTTCTGAATTTTGCTGCCCGTGGTTTCTCTTGCCTTGATGTGGACCATCATTCTTGACTGTCATCATTTTTGTTGCCACTCCTGCCTCCTAAGTCTTCAATTAACACTTGATTTAATGGGAACCATGTGAAGCCCGGCCTCCAAGAGGTCATGACTTGAAGGAAGAATTCACGGGATCAGATCACTGACACTGCAGTGCCAGGGCGCTAGGAGCTGGCTACACAGACGAGAAGAGCTTGTTCAGGGAGAGCTCTGTTGCTAAATGTGAAAGATGTGGGCGAGTGGTTCAACAGAAAATGAAGTCACAAGAAATTCAGGCTGGAATTCATGGTCTGCAGAGTTATCATGATGCCCCAGAAGGAGATGATACGACTCTATGTGAATAAACACAGATCTACATGCACTGCTCTCACTCTGCCCTCGAGAGCAGGTATCAGCACACCCTGGAACTGCCCTGAACACCCCGTAATTCCTCTTGTCACAGTTTTTGTACATCTTTCAGTACCATTTCAAAACACTTCCAAAATAATGGAAACAGATGGGTTCTTGCTGTCTGACAGGGGCCTTTTTCTAAATCCTTGGTGGGGTCTGGGGTTATGAATACAGAAAGCTCGGATTTTTCCTTCCAGTGAAAACACTTGATATTCAGAGAAAATGGTGGCAGATTCATGCTGACTCTTGCTTTAGACCTAGGCTTAACATCATAATATGGATAAAACAAAATGCAGTGGCAACACTTAAATCATGGCATTTTAAGTACCTAACTCAGTCCTTTCCTGTGTTGTCTGATGACAAAGATACCTGGATGACAGTGGCCTCGGCTGCTTTCTGTCTCCATGGTGAGAGACATGTTTCAGGACAAGAAGTTCCTGTGCCGGGTGACAAGGAAAAGACACTACCTGTGATGCAGTGATGCACCCTTCTGCAACCAATAGGGCAGGCTGAACCCCACGCAGGTGGCCCTGCACCCAGGTTTTCTTCCCGTATGATGTTGTAGCAAAGGCCCAGTGAAATGTCCCCATGAGATGCTTCTGTCTCCAGAGTCTGCACCTCTCAGTGTACCCTAGCTGCAGCATCCTGATTCCCTTAATGTGATGCATCTTGGGGCCTCTGATCTCCGGTGCAGCCCCAGAAAGGGAATGGCCCTACATATGCTGCTTCACATATGTGATGCTGGCCTCTTCTTGGGAGGCCTGTGTGGGCCCTTTTGTTGCATTAAATGAATGATCCAGGAAAGCAAATCAACTGGGCTCCCAAGTCCCTTAACTGAGGGTGAAATGCACAGACTGGATGCCAGAGAGTCTTTCTGTGTTCCCTACCATTTTGGAAACCTAAGGCCTGAGACCCCAGAGGGCTCCCTGAAGGTATATGAGACATGCATCTCTCCACATCCAGGACTCACCCAGTGCCAGAGTTAAACCAAAACACAACAACCAGATGAGAACTGTGAGCGCAGGAGAACTGACCATGTCCTACAGACAACCAACATCAGACCCCAGAATGACCATTCAAGCATTCAGTAAACAGCATATTGCTTCCGGATCTAGAGCCACTCAGAGTCACCTGCCTACCTGAGGCATCTCCTGTTCCAGATGTTGATACCGTGAAGACAGTGTGGGGTCCTGAAATCAGACCCTCCTCTGCATTTCATCTTCCACCTGCTGCCCAGGGACTTTGGGTCCCACCTTTACCTGGACTAGTTCATCTCCCAGGATGTCACCGCATCACAGCCATGCATTTTTTTCTCGCACTCTGTCCACAGAATGATGTTAACCTCTTCCACTCTCCCTCAGCCACTTCTCTTTGGTCTCAGCCACCTTGAGAGTTCCAGAGACATGGCTCTGCCTGACCTCATAGGCTGGAACTTTGGATAAGTAGAGGGCTTTCTATAGGTCAAAAACCCTCTGTTCAAAAGGCTGACCTTAGCACCAAGTCCCAGTGTTCTGGAATGTTAGTATGAAAGTGAATGCTATTACATGATATATTATGAATGGTTGAACTTTGAAGATTTTTTGCTATGTTCATTCCTATCAGTCTTAATTTGAAGAAAAATGACCATGTATTTCATTTTCCCAACTTTTCTGCTTTATTTGGTTGAAAATAACCAGAAGTCATACCTACTGGCCTTCCCTGCACACATTCTGGTATAAAGGTACAGTCAGCTTGTTGGCGATGTTAGGAGGGCAAGAAGCTCCTGTTTAACTGGCACATCCACCACTCACAAACCTTTGCGCTCATCCAGCAGCTGCGGCACAAAAGGGAAACCAGCACTGGCCTGATGTGTCCAGAACGGATGTGCAGAGCTCACCACTGGTCAGCAGATCAGTGCCACCCAGCAGGCATGAAGTGAGCTCAGGAGAAAGCAGCAGATGGGTGGCCTCAGGACCAGAAGGTCTTCCAATAGATGCACCAGAGAGTCAAGATGACCAAGTCAGAACTGGACCCACTAAAGCAACTGTGGTTTTTCAAAAGAAGAGGGAAATGGGAATTTTAACTACTGAATTAGGCTAGGATATTTGAACTCTGTCTTGGTTACTTTTCTCTCATTACCAAGACAAACTATCTCAACACTCAAAGTTAAAGAAGAAAAGGGTTTTTTAGCTTACAGTTTGTGGATGTTTCAGTCTATAATCAGCTGGCTGCAGGGCAAGGTGGCACGGTACCGGGCAACGTTTCAAGGCAGCAGCCAGCAAAAGCAGCCAGAGCAAAAGAGGGGAAGGGCAAGCCTCATTTACTCCTTTGCATTGTGCACAGGTCACCCCCCAACCAGAACCAGGTTAGCACTCACAAAATGTCCTTGTCCTCCTCTTGCACACCATGGGGGTATTTCAAAGTAAGGATCCTGGCTCCCTGCTGAGTTTCTCAGTTAAACTTCTAAATTTTTCAAGTTGACACAATGTATCAACCACAGCAGCTTCTTAAGCAAAAATTTAATTTTATTTGTAATTTAAATTAAACCTACATTTACTATGAAAAGTATGTATATTTTTGGGACAAAATATGATGTTTTAATACATGTATCTATCGTGTCATACATTGTCAGGTGGGTCACATCTGTTTCCACAGGCATAATAAATTACTTCTCCACAGAATGCTGTTTTCTAACATTGTGACATGCACCATATACAACTATCACTGTGGTCACCTATTGTTCATGCCAACTAGATCTTTTTGTTCTCCTAATAGGGGAAATGGCTAGACTTTAAGTCTCTCCCCAAGGAGGTTCCAGGCTCTTGTTTATGCTGCACAACATGCCACTCGGGCATTCAGTTGCTGAAAAGAAGCAAATAACTCAGGTTGCAGTGGGAAGCTTAGAGGGCTGATCTGGTGGCTTGCCTCCTCCCCAGAGCCCTGGACCTGAGCTGCAGACTTCACTGCAGAGATCCGCTGGCACAGACAGGAAGTCTGCAGTCCACTTGGCTGTGGTGGGAGCCAGATGGACTCGGTCCCAGGAGCCAGAGATGCCAGAGGGAGGAGAAGCAATGACTTCTGTGAGGTGGTTGCTCAATTGAGATGGATGGGAAGCACCTGACTTGCTTTTCCTGTGCTGGTGGAGGGAGTGCGGCTTGGCTGGTGTCACTGCACCCCTCACTCCCCACAGTGGACTGGGGGAGTAGGATTGGGGGACAACCTGCCCCATGTCTTCCCTGGTTATTTGGCAGCCACTGTCTTCCAAACAGCTCTGGAAGGAGTGCAACTTGGCTGTCAACTCCAGTGCCCCTCCTGTCACTTCAGACCCTGCTGCTGCTTTTAAAAAGGGGCTGAAGATCCAGAGAAGATGGATCTGGGTCCATTATAACATCCCCAGCCTCCTCTGTCCCCAGGTAGCTGTAATGAACACAGTTGGCCCTCCCAAAGATTTCCTGATTTCAGCCTGGCCATTTTTCCCAGAGATGCTGCAGCTGCCAATCAGTGAATGTTACCTGGACCCCTGACTGGATTCCTACTAAGACAGCTGTGGCTATTCTGGAGCATCAGTCCACTTGAACCGATGGCAGGCCTCCACTTGGACCAAAAACAGGCCAGAAGCTGCTATGTAAGCACCACCCACCCTTACCCCCAATGTCTTGAGGCCCTCTGCTTCACCTCTGTCCCTCAAACATCAACACTTGTTTCGGTAGTCCTGTGAACCTGCTTGTGATTTGTTTCTCAGGTGGCATGGGCTCTCAAGATCCTGAAAACCTACTCAGAACAGAGCAGTTTCATTTGAAAAAGAGCAACAAACAGTACCTGTTAGACTCAACCTACAATGTCCACCACAAGCTGGCACCAGGCTTCACTGGATGAGCCCAGCCCCTAGCTGTGTCCGCTGTGGGCATCCAGCACTATCTGGTGTCTTCTGGTGACATCGAGACTTCTAGCAGAGTTGTCTGTACTTTACCAATTCGTGATTTCCCTCTGAACTGAATGAAAGAACGCTTGGTTGGTTGGCAGCACCGCAGGAGAAGGATCACCTTTACACAGGAGACACGCTGCCGAGGCTCAGAGCAGTCAGAGCCCCGAGGCTTCCCCTCCACTGGCCGATGGGGCCTCTGGTTTCATGATCATCTTCTCACAGGCTCCCCCTCAGCCCTCCAACTCTCTCTCTGCACCTTAAATATGTGAGCTGTAAAAATGTCTTAAATTTTAACATTTTCATTTAGACATTTTTATGTTTCCAAAACAAGTGTTTTTCCTCTTGATTCATTCATAAACAATACAGTTAGGGTAAGACTCCTGGTGCCATGACGAAAACAAGTGAGTTTTTCTAGATGTCACTCTGCTCACTGTGGCGATGCTGAGACTGTCCCGAAGCATGAGAGGGAAGTGCACGCTCCGTGCTGGCTTGCTGGGGAATGCATCGGGCTGTCCTACCTCCAGCAGCTCACTGAATTTCACCTCTGGGAGCACAGCACCCACCATGGCTTCCCTGTAACCTACGCCAACTACTGAGAGAAAAGGAGAAAAGAAAGAGATAGAAGTTAGGGCCACCCACAGGTTCAAAGCGGTGAAGAGTAGGTGTTGGGACTGTGGCTGCTGGGACTGTGCAGCTTGGCACCAGGGATTTGAAACTGCGCATCTGTTACCCCACAGTGCCCATGGCTGGGAAAACCAGGAGACCTTGTCTGCTACTGAACTTGAAGGTCAAGGTCATAGCCACTTAGTTTAGCTTCCTGTTCTCCTTGAGGGAAAGACATCACTGCACCAACAGTGGATGGGAAGTCCAGCCTCTACAGCTGTGGGTGCCACTACCACCCATGACTCAGAGGCAGTGAGGCGGGGGGTTCCACCCTGCTGCTGCATGCATAGTTACGAGACAGGGACATCTGTTTCTGTGACCCAAGGAAGGCCCAGCATGCCAGTAAACATTTCCAAAACCTAACACTAAAAATGAATGAAAAAAGAAGTTGATTTTGTTTACCTCGGCCACGTTCTCCACATCAGAAGTGAGATGCTAAGGCTGTCCAGTGTGGATTTAAATCCTGGGGGGTGGGGTCATCCCCAAAATGGGTGAACAAACTGGGCCATCTTCCTGGTGGCTTGGATCTGGCCGGTGAACTTGAGTGGGGGCAAGGGTCGAAGCTGACTCCTCTCTCTTACTGTTTTTTTTATGTAGCAACCAAGAAATAATGCTGAGATCTCTGTGAGAAGGCCTGACACCTAGCTGATGCTTGTTAACCTGGCTCCATCCACTCATGCCTGCAACTGAGAGGCTCGTGGGTGATCACCTCAGCAGGGTTAAGCCTAGACCCTTAACAGGGTAGGTCTCACCCTCATTTGTCCTTAGTATGATATTGCGTACACAGTGTTCTTTGGGCCGCCCCACAAGACATTACTTTCAAGATCTTGCATTTCTACTTTCTCTTTGATTCACTGTTGAGCCAACTCTGCTCTCAGAAATAACTAGAGCTGGGATTGAGTGTGTGTGGACCAGGTGTGTTTATTCTAGGAAGGTCCTGAAGCAGTGCAATGTACAACCTCATTATTCTACAGAGGAGTTTCACACAGTAACATAAGTACCCTAAATATTTGAGCCAATTAAAAACACAGGGCACATGTGTTGAAAGATTTGTTTGACCAGAATAAATACTACAATTGATACGAATATCATAAAATTACAATAATATCATAGAACAGAAAAAAAGGTTTGTTTGAGGTGGTAGTGACTCCCTTTGAGCAGACCGGTAGTGTACACACTTGCCCTCAGGCTACAAACCCCAGGGGCACAGCTGTGGTGGGCAACAAGTTTCTTCCGTCCATCATGTCATCCAAAGAGGGCCAGGAATGTTCTTATCTGCCAGTGGAGGACCAGGCCTGAGGAAACCAGGGTTTCCCTAGACGCCTTGCTGGTACCAAGTGGAGCTCCAGTCTGCTCCTGAAGCTGTGCTCCCCCAGCCAGGCCCCAGGAGCTCCACCCCAGTAAGGAGCCTGCCACCAGCCACCTGCCAGAGATCTGCCTGCATGCTACAGACTGATGAATGCCAGAGTAAATGAGTGCATGAGATTTTTTTAAAACTGAGTTGAGGTTTTAGAACTTTTCTTTTGGAAGATTTTCTCCCAGCCAGCAGAGAAAAGTTGCTTTATCTCATTTTTCTTAGTCCACATAAAATTATGTCAGTGCCATTTTAAGAGGCCAGAGTGGGAAAAGCCTAACCACCATGTAAGTGCATTTAGGGTGTCCAGTGACTGCCTGCCTTGCCTAGCTCTTCCTCAGCTGAGACACGTAGCAGGGTCATAGCCACCAGCAGCTCTGCAGGCTGCTGGTGCTGGAGGCAGGCCTAGAAACTTTGGTCTCTGTCTGTGTTTTCCATGTGGTTAGCTGAAGCCTCTGTGGCCTAGCACAGAGAGGCCAGCACATCTCCCCAGGAGGCTTTAACAGTTGTACAAAGTGGAAAATATTTTTCTTCCCTCCACTGTGCAAGCTACAGAGAAAGAGAGGCCTCGGCTGCTTTGTGTCTGGGGGTTACAGAGCATGTCTCTGCATGTGGGAATCTGTTAAGTCAGGAGTGAAGAGGGCTTTGGTTTTGCAAATGAACCATGCAAAAATAGAAATGTATATTTGCATATTAAAATCTGAGTAAAGCATTCCTTCTCCTCCTCCTTCTCCTTCTCCTTCTTTTCCTTCTCCTTCTCCTTCTCCTCCTCCTTCTTTTTCTTCTTCTTTGTAATCCCATTTCTCTGGATTTTATTATCTTTCCTAAAATGCTATGTCTTTAGAAGAAGTACAAAAACAGTGAATTGATGTTTCTTTCTAGTGAGGTTTGGAAACTGTATGCAGTGAAAGAATGGAGACCAGGCGTTGCTCCTGCCTCTGTGTTCCAGGTGTGGTAGATCCGGCTTCCACAAGCGCCAAGCCACGCACCTCACACCACAGCCCAGCCCCAAGCCCTCGTGCCCGCCACTATCACCACAGAAAGTTCGGGTGCACACCTAAGAACTGTTAATGAAATACCAAACTAGATGCTTCTGACCAGCGACTTCCTAAAGCTTGATTTTCAAATGTGATTTGCATCATTTTTAATCTCATTCCAACCAAAATAAAGCTTAGTAGAACTATTAAAACTGGTCTTAAAGTCTCTACTTCAGCATTTTAAGTTTTGTTTTTTTTTAATTTTACTTTTGGCCATTAAAAATATAACTTTATTTTTCCAAGACCCAGTCATGTATTGGCTGAGTGCTTTGGACGTGAAAGTTTTGCAATGATGAAACTACAGACTAAAGTGAATAAAGGCAAGGTATATCGACCCAGGCTTTGATTTATTTTTATTAGTATTACTTTACTTAGAGCAGAGCACTAATTTTTCAAAAAGGGTTGATTCAAGAAATGGTTCTTTCCAATTGCTTTACCAGATGCAGCACTGATGTACAATCATAACGGATGAAGGAAGGTAGAAGGGAAATTCTAGAAAATACAACTTGCAAGAGACGTCTTCAAAAGTAGAATTTATTTGGTAAGAATCTTTTTAACTAGGTTAAATCATAGTAAAGAACTTAAAATTTATATTTCCATCCACCCAATGTTCTGACATTTTGTACTCTGAGTATTTATTTTATTTACCCAAAGGCCTTCTGGTAAGAGCATTTAAGTCCCCATCTGTATATCCAGTGTAATTTAAAATGAGCAATTATGGGGAAATGTGAGCAGATAACACTGGGAATAACTTGACTCCTACAGTGATGTTTTGACCTGAATCAATGAGATTCCCACAGCCCCTGGCTAAGCCCCTATTGCCTCTGGCTTTTGCAAAGAGCTGCAGTTTTCTGCACGGAGCAGTGTTTATCACTCTGTTCTCAGATGGAGAAAGGCTTTGTCAATAACCTGCCACTAAGATTCAATACAGTTTACTTGCTTTAATTCCATTCTTTTAAAATTATTTTTAATTTTGAAAGGTATGGCAAAACACACATAACCAAATTTATGAGTATAACCATTCAAAAGTAGGTTATGTTGGGTGGATACTCATAATGTTTTCCACCCATCACCACCACCTATTTCCAGAACCTTCTCATCCCTCAAAAGAGCCCTTACTTGGGAAGCAGTAGCTTCCAGTCCCTCACCATTGTGGGCGTGACTGTGCCCTCTGTCTGCAGATGTTCCTGCTCTGGGTTTGTATCATCAATGCCAAGAGTTGGTAGTTTTTTCATGTCCATTAGCATCTGTCTTATACATCTGGGTGCTCCTGTATTTGGTGCATACATATTTATAATTGCTAGTTCTTCCTCTTAAATTTTTCCATTAGTGAGTATATAGTGACCTTCTTTACCTCTTTTAATCATCTTAGTTTGAAGTTCACGTTGTCTGCAAATAGAATAGATAGCCCAGCTTTTTTCTGGGTTTATGTTGCATGGAATACTGCTTTCCATCCTTTGACTTTTAATCTATTGAGTTTCCTTTTGGGTCAGATGTGTTTCTTGTATACAGCATATTGTGGGATCATGTTTTTTGATCCATTCTGTCAACCTAATTCTTTTGATAGGTGAATTGAAGCCATTTACATTTATGGATGTCACTGATATGTGCTAGTTTGATTTTGTCATGTTATGTTCCAGTTCTTTGCTTTCTGCTTTTCCCCCTTGTTTAATTGCTTGTTCTACCTGGTGGTTTCTTTCTGTGGTTGTTCTGGAGATTGTGTTCATTTCTATCTCTATCTAGTAAGTCTTTCAATACTCTTTCTAGGGTTGGTTTGGTGGACATGAATTTCTTCATGGAAGTATCTTGTTTCTCCATTAAATTTGAATTAAAGTTTTTCTGGGTACATCAGTCTGGGTTGAAAGTTGTTTTCTTTCAGGACTTGACATACCTCACTCCAACCTTGTCTTGACTTGAGAGTTTGTGCTGAAAAGTCTGCTATGATTCTAACTGGGATTTGGTACTTTTTTGTGCATGCCTGGCTTCTTCCACTTCACCTAAGGCTGTTTAATTCTCAGGGATCTATTGTCTATTAATCATGTGAGACTGCTGCACACATGTGGCATCCATGTCTGATACTGCTCACATCCAGAAAGAGGTTAGAGTCATCTCCTCTCTTCTGCCTTGTGACTCTTACTGGACACTCTCCCAGAAGTGTGCCAGGATTTGCAGATGTACCCACTAACTCCAGGACACTGAGGCAGGAGAAGCACATGACTCCTGCTTTTCTAGAGCTGGCTGCAGGGGACCAGGCCTTGCCTTGCCTTTCTCTTCTTTGTGCCCCTCATTGGACTGGGACAACCTGCTTCCCTGTCCTCTCTGGCCAGTTATTGTACACTCTCCTCTACTCCAACATGGATATGAGTACAGCTTCTCTGCAGGACAGTGCCCCTCCCTGCCCCTGCCATTCAGACACTCCTGCTGCCTCTTGCAAGGAGGGGCACCCTGGCATGGCTAAAACCGAGGGAGGAAAGGACCTGGGTCCATTGCTAGCATAGCAGAAGATTCCCTGATTTAAGCCTCATCCCCTCACTGGAT